TCGCGCTGCGCGTTTGCAAAACTTCGAATGGGCTTTCTGTTCCGTCAATCGTTTGAGAGCGGGCGGGTTTAATGCAAATCACAAAGCAACGCGCTCGCCCAGTTTGGCCAGCAAAAACACCTCCTGAGGATGACTCTAGACTGCTCAAGAATAGCGAAGGAAATCGCGATGATGAGTGGAATTTTGTCGAGGGAAACAGGCAGACATTGCTTTATTCACTTGCAAGAGACAATAATAAGAAAGATTAACAAAATCTTCAAAGAAAACTAGTCGATTATTGCCCGAAAAAGTCGATCACAAGAGACGAACCTTGAAACACAAAAACAAACAAAGTGGATCGAAATGCACCAGTCACAATAAAACATGTGTTTCCAAAGATGATTGAAGGAACACAAAAACACGAAATTCCTCCGAAGTTTACAAAACTCGCAGTGCGTAACGAATTTCGCCGTAAAAGCCATTGTTGTTCTAGTTTTCCGTTACCGTTTGACATTTTTTAAAAATCAGGTTTAATTTAACATGTTTACTTGATGTGATTAGTGGTGCGTTAGTTTCTGTTATTATAATTATTATTTATGAGTAAGGCCATAAGACTGCAACTCGTGGCGCACTTGCAAAATTCTGACAAGAGTTCTTTCGATTCTGAATAATCTTTGCTTTAGATGCTCTTATAATTGTGTACCTTTATGTTTTCTAAGTACCGTGCAACCTCGATATAACGAAAAAATTTCTTTACCCCAGTAATAGTAAAATACGTGAAAAAGAATCTTGTCCTTGGCCCTTCGTTATACCGTGGTTTCACTGTAATTGCTTATTCTACAAGCATCTTTCAACTTTAAAGTTGACATCAAAGGGACGTTTCATTAGAGGAAACATTAGTTACACGGCCGAGAAGCAATTATCAATCTTTTGATGAAAAAAAGGCGGCGCTCACATGGATTTTTACATTGTGTAAAACCGTCTCTTGTCGCGGACAACGACCAAATGTATTGCCTTCTTTCCGTTCTTTGCAGGTTGTAATATTCAAGTGTCACTTTTCAAACTCAGAAAAATTAGAAATGCAAAAGATTAGAGCCACAAAGTCTACTCTTTTGAGAAACACGCTAAAAAAAAACTAGTATTTATTTCCATCGAGCTCATAATTTTTTAAAAAACAATTTGTACATGATGGAAAGGAACCTGTAATTAACCAACGCACGCTGATGGAATGATTTTCACGTGTGTCGGAATATGGTGAAGTCAACAGGGGTCTTTTTTGCATGAGCATGCGCGACCGCTGAACAAGCGATGTGTATGGAGGCTCACCACAGGGTTTGCCTTCATCAAAATGGCGCGTCTCAAAGCTATCATAGCGATTATTTTGCTCGTTCGTCTTGGCGAATGTACTCGTGATTTAACAAAATGTGTAGTTTGCAAAAAAAACTCTAACATGGTATTAAAAAAAGCGAAGTAGGCCGGCTTTAACATACACGAGCTACTATCAAATTTCATCTCCCCACTTGACCTGGACAACAGCGCGCGTATATGCAGTGCCTGGAGGATTGCGCTGACCTCATCAAAGCCTAAACAAAGTGCAGAAACGTTTGTTGATGCAAGTAAACACTTTCAATTTTCTTTGTTTTGAAATGGGAAAGGAAGAGAAATATTAAAAAAAAAACATAGCAAATTTCAGCGAGTGGGCTCGAAGTGCGCGAAAGCCGATGTTCAGTTCAGCAGTGAATTAATATATGTTCTACAATTTTCCCAGCACTTTAAAGCTACAAAATTAAGAGCACACCAGACTTAGATTAGTCACCTGGTGAGATGTTGGTGGTAGTCACTCTGAATGTCTCGAACAATAAAAAAAATGAATATCAATTAGACACAGTCAAACCTGCATTCAATAGGACCGAAATTAAAGTCCAATCTTGTGACTGATTTTGATGAAACAAACGGGTAGGTTTCCCAAGAAGTACAGTAAACATGCGATGCCGACCAAAAGTTAAAAATCATTAGAACATTTAAGTTCTGGCCAAAAGCAAATTCCTGTAAAAGATGCGTTACAATGTTAGTCCACGCAAAAACAAGAAGTTCTACAATTTTCCTATAAACAAACTTTTTATCGCTAAAATACTTAAGGCAAAAACTTTCTATTCCAACTGAAAACGGCGTGGTAATCGCCCGCTGATCGTTATTAATCCACTCCCGAAATAGGGCTAAATCAGCTATTAACAAATTATTGACAGAAATCCTCTACGGCATCGAGAAACTAATTTACATCCGATTTATAGACAAACAATAAATAAAGAACATTTTGCTCCATAGCTGCGCATCAGCAATGCATTCTATGCCAAACTTTGCAGTTCTTAAAGAGTAATCAAGACACGAGTCGAGCGCCAAACAACAACAAGCAGCCATGTTCGTGTCAGACATCCTTGAGAAACTTGCTCTTTCACCTCGTTCAGCGCATCAGTCTCCACTTTAAATCAACAGATCCTTACTTGTTTTGTACAACGGTCTTTCCTAAGTTCCTGCTACCATTTCAATCTCAAGCAAGCTTTCAAAGTGAACAATTTGGTTCCTATGACTATGCAGCACGGTCGCTGTCACTGGTCGCGTGCTCTTTGACAAGTCAGCGGTCGCGCATGCTCATGCAAAAAAGACCCCTGCTGGTCAAGTCTATTTAACATTCAAATAGATTCCATGCTGCCGTGGGTCTGTTCAGTGGGTCTGTTCTACTTTCCGTCTCTGCTTTTTCTTTTTTTCCTTATCTTACTTGTATGCAGTTTCTTCGAAAAGTGTTGCTACGCCTTTTCTTGCTATAAGCAGAATATTGGCGGAAACATTTTGCAAAACAGCGAGTCTGTCGTAGCATGACACACGATGGCAACTGTTGTGAAGATTTCTTGTAGTTTAGGCATCCTTAAGTGGTCAAGAACTCTTTTTGTCTCCGTATCTCCATTTTTCTTCTTTGTAAATAGCCCCTGCTAAACTCTTTTCTAGGCTTTCACTTTCTTTAATCCGAAACAGTCTCAAAAACATTTTCAAAACCGCGCGCCATGTTGAACAAAACAAAGAAAACAAGTTTCCTGTAGCGTGATCTATGTATCTGTAATGTGATAGATCATAGGCAATGACCAATCAGAGCGCGGGTAGCATTCACATCATTGTATAAAGCCGAATGGTAGGTGGCTGGCAGCCTGAGAAAACAGCCGACATTTCGCGCATCGCGATGCCACCACTGGTTTCCCCTACGAAATGATCACGACGTCGTCATTTGGCGGGAAAACCAATGGTAGCGTCGCCAAATGTCGGCTGTTTTCTCAGGTTAGGCGGCCGGCAATGTAATTGATTGTTGGAACCCATCAAAAGTGTAAAATAATTAGTTGCGCAAAAGATGCATGTCAGATAAGGAAGATATCCAAAAACAGTGAACGGAATTTTGGTAAATAGAAATTTTTGGAGAAAATAGAATGTTTTTGTTTTGAATCTCATAAATTTTGTCCTAAAAATGAAACTGTTTAAAATTGAGTTTCAAAAGAAGAGTAAAACATAAGAGCTTACATTTGCCCTTTTCTCTGTTTCTACAAGCGTGGATAATACGATTCAATATAACATGTAAATTAAAAGCATTTGAATTGTATCGCGATCATGGGATGGCTCATCCACTTTTATGCACAAATTTGGTGACGTTGCCATCTTTTGGGCTCTTTTGGCATCTATGGATTTAAAATAAAGAAGCTCCCACAATGACTTTCTACCATGTTCCAAGAATCTTGCTTTCCATGCAGTGCTATCGATCCTACCAAACCAGTCACCACAAAAGGAGTTGCTCTCCGAAGACGAGTTAATAGCATGTTTTCCAGGCAAAATGGGCGAAAAGAAACAAGGTGCAGATTCAAGCGGCTCTCTCAACACGCGAATGAAAAGGCGAAACTGCATAAAACAAGGCGGCGAAGACTTGCGGGCACTTAGAATATTTTCCGATAAATATTGTCAAGCAACAAGTACAGCTTACACGGCTTAAAAACTATGCGAGTTCTGGATTAACCCAGATTATGGATTTGTTCAGTTATACTGGGACTCTCCATGTATCTCGGTCAGGCGAGGAGTGGTAAGTGTAGAGGGTGATAGAAAGCCGAAAGAGATGGGTACTACCTTGCAATTTACTTCCCGTCCCGCAGGGCTGATACGCTGTGCAAGCAGTGTCATCAGGATTAAGTGCCTGTTTTCATGGAGGTGGTGGACCCCACGTAGGTGAGGTAACCCGCTTAGGTGGGGTAACCCGCCCTTCCATATATCCTCCCATTTTAATTTGATCACGTTTACATGATGGGTGGGATGACCCGTCACCTGCTACCTCACCTATCTGGGGTCTCCCACCTCCATGTAAACACACCCTAAATAATACTTGTCAACCTGCTAGTGTCTTTTATCGATGGAAATCCACATGAAATTAACTGGTAATAATATTAATTGATAGGAATTATCATAAGCTGTTCTTAAAAATAGGTGTCTGACGCGTTCGGGTATGGGTTTTGTCTTGCAAACGCTGAACTGCCGGTTTATGTTTGACAAGATAATTTCGAAAAAATACACTAGGAATTTATCACGGTTTTCTGATTAAAAGGTCTTGAAGAATAAACTGTTATTATTCCTTCCGTTCTACGTTCGTCAATGGCCATTCTCTATTATATGTAGCGAGTGTTAACCTTTATGATCATAAAATTCATTGTGCCAGAGCGTAAGAATATTCTTGTGATATTGCTCGTTCAAAGAGCCTTTCTCTGTACAAATGTGCTTTCACGACATTTGGAAAAGTCTGCAGTTTTCCATCTCTTAGAAGAGAAAATCCAGGAAAAAAGGAAATATTGTGTAGAAACATGGTGAGCAGAGTTTGGTTAAGTTTCGTTGCACTTTATTGCTTCTTCTTTTTGTTTGCTTACATATGGGATGTTACGTAAGTGAGCCAAATTTCTCTTTGTTTTACATCGCGGAAATAACAATTCATTCTGAAAGACTTATGCTACAGGATAAGAGGTGAGCACCATTCCAGCATTGTTAAAGTTGATGGTCTTTATCATAAGCTGCTTTCCGTCCACATTACAGGTGCAGTCACCTGGCTCACCAAAGAAGCATGCTGTGTAAAGCGCCACTTCAAATGCAGGGCTTGTACCCACGTAAAAGCTGCTACCCGGTGGCTTGCTAGCTCCATTCCAAGTAAACTGGACGTTTATAAAGGGTGGCTGCAAACAAACAACGGTGATATCACTTCATGATAATAAAAGCACACAATTAAAATTTCCGAGTTTTCGGAATTCGGATTAGCTAATATGGGGCAAGATCAGGCAAAATGTAATAAGCCACCGGACTGACTGCGTGATGCAGTTCTAGTCAAAGACCCACATTTCACCCTTGCTCTCCATTGAGTTCCCCAGTAGCTCAGTGGAAAACGCATCTGACCAGATCACGGAGGGTCGTGGGTTCGTGCGTTCGAATCCCGTCTTGGGGCTCGAATTTTTTCCGAGTTTCCATTTGATGTAAAAAAGACATATCATATTCTACTTCTACAAGAAAAGACTCACTTTGTGGTGGTTGCATCTACGATACCTTAATGTGACTGAGTGATGCAGTTATTCATGAGTCATACGTGCTTGTTCTGGTTTGACTATGTGACTGCGTGATGCAGTTCTAGTCAAAGACCTACTTTCACCCTTGTACGCCATGGAGTCTCCAGCAGCTCAGTGGTTAGAGCATCTGACTAGATCACCGAGGATCGTGGGTTCGAATCCCATCTGGGCCTAGGATTTTTTCCGAGTTTCCATCTGATGCAAAAAACGCATCATGTTCTACTTCTACAAATCAGAGGAAGTTTCACCTATCCTGCTTGCGCGAATTGTCTCTTTCGCAAACTCCCCTGACTGATCATGAGGACGTCTAACGTGAGGGAGATTTCGAGAGAGACATTGACTCACCGAAAACAATCACAAGTTCTACTGAAGGATAGAATTTTTTAGTGAAGTGTCTCTCCATTGACCATGTTAGGATACTATCATATTCTTTTGATTAAACCCTTACCTTTTTAGTCGAATCCACAACATTCTTTGGGGGTGGAGAGTAAGCCAATCTACCTGCCGTCTGTTCAAGAAGAAACTGGTACCAGTTGTGAAGACCTTTCACTACCGTTGTCCCTCCCGTGCCGACGCCCAGTTCACCTGATGAAGTAATTTATGCAAGAACGTCCTCATTTAACTGACATTGTGGTAGTCCAGGATTTTAAATAAAGCATTACTTTATTATCCCTTGAGACCGCATTGCTAAACGTATTAGATTTGTTAACGTGATGATATTTGGCTTTATTTTATTTTCGTTTTATGTGTGTGTGTGTAATTTAAAAGATCTCTGGCCAGCCGAACGTCTCCTTTCAATAGTTGGAAGTAACAAGAGACTATAACCCAAAATATTTCACCGTTTCTGATTGGCTCAAATCCCCCGGCTAAATTCTTCGTAGCCACGTGGCGCTTACCACATTTGAAAAGGCAATAACCAACCTATTCGAAGGTATATAAAATAGCAACCTCGTTTCCAGGCAAAGTTCTTGGCTATCCGAATACGAAATAGCCGAATTTCTGTTTCGCAAACCGTCTTTACGTATTCTTACTTCGTCTTTGGCGCAGTCTGTTTTGGCGCGAAATTAGACCATAACCTACATTATCTTCGCTTGCCATAGCATAATTCCACAAAACTTGACGTCAGGAAAAAGTACAGACCAAAAATGGTTAAAAGTTTAAATTAGTCTCTATTTGCTAGTTTGTTTTCAATACCACATTCCGGAATACCACCAGCTCCTAGTATGCCCTATATGATTGGTCAATTTTGACAGTTTATGTCAACCACATCAATCGCTTAGCTTCGCTCACGCAGAGAAAAAGAAAAATCGTAGCGAGCGCGCGAAACCCTCCTACACGCACATTTTGACATTTTTACTTTGTCATTTTGATACAAGAAACGGTTTTTCTGCAAGTGGGCAGACTGTGCGGTATTCGTGAGATGCTTACAGGCTCTCCCCTTCTCTCCTCCCGTTATCTTTCGCTCGCTCGCTTTTTTACTGCTCGCCTGCATTTTTCGCTCGTCTGCACTGACCGAGAGGCTGGCAGAGGCTATAACGCATTTTACATCGAGGTTTTGTATCATCGATGATTAAGACTAAAAAGTCTACAGTCAAAAGTTCAAAACATTTAGGTTTTAATAAAAGCCCTAGGTTTAAACAAAATCATAAAGGATTTTGTGTGGTTTATGAGACTGGATGTGGAGGGGGAAGGTTACATTTCGATGGCCTCAAAACCGATTCTTTATTTGGCAATGTGCTCACCAACAAATGTATGCTCAAATCCAGAATAATGCGGTACGCCTCCTCCTTTTGCGTATTTAGTAAACCACATCGTCTTCAATGCTGCCTTAAAAGCGTTTAGGTCCTGTTGGAGATTTCAGAAAACAAGACACCACTAACAGTAAAAAATTTGAATTATTGAAACATGTAGTCTAGAGACTAGCAACCTGAAAATTATGTTAGTTTAACCTTCAACAGCTGTGACGGGACAGTTTCGGCTAAATCAATTTTGTTACTATGAGTTTCTAGCCAAAATGCTAAACTTATGAAAGAAATTACTTCTAATACCACATCTATGAGACAGAAAAGGATGCTGTGATCCAAAGTTTAAAACAACAGACATTTATCTACTAACATGTACTAACATGGGCCAACGGACGTCTTAACAGTTCTCTAACCTGTTTTACATTTTTTTTTTTTCATTTTGTGCATCCTTGTCCTGTTCGTGCCGTGCTCTTTAAAGTTTCAGGCTTATATAATACTTTGTTGCTCGCGGTGGCCAATTTCAAATGCTGCATCAATAATAATCAAATATGTAGCGCCTTCGCCGCCTTCAAGGCGGTGGCTGGGGTTGAGGGAGACTGGTGCACAGTGAAAAGCCGCATTCAAGAAAGGTTGGAAGAAGAGGTTAATTACTGAGCCACGTCAGTGCTTGATATGGAAAGGTGCTCGAGGATGGCTTCCACACAACGCTTCCTTCACGCTTCGTATAATTCGGAGAAGGAGGAGGACAAAACATTCCAAAAAAAAAAATCTTACTGTTGCTGTAGTCTTTCCATTCGTCTTTAGATATTTAAAAGCAATATCTACGGGACCTCCTTCGACGGCGATAGTGTTGATAAAGTTGTCTTCCTCTTGTGACTTCTGAGAAGCAGGAATTTCTGGCTTTGTCTCGTCTAAAATGTAGTTATCTAGAAGGGCTTTAGCAGAATTTTAAAACCAAGTTAGCTCCAACAAAGCAAATATGATGTACGTACACTTAACGCCTTTTTAAATGATGTGGAGTAGAACCCTCCTACAGAAGCTGCCATACTTGTTGGTAACTGTCTACTGCCCAAAGTTTACCTTCATATTGCTTATCATACAACATACTCATCCAGTTGAAAATCTTGTGCATAAATGTAGTTTACAAATTAAATTTTTGACCTTTTGGGAGAATGACTAGCTTGCTACGCAGTATATACAAATCAAATGGAAAGACGAAGAAGACTAGAAAGCTTGCATCGCCTCGGCTTATATTTCCTGAGGCTAGACCAACTGAAAATAGGTGGTTTATTGGTATTTCATTTTTCAACCCATCTGAAGGAGAGCCGCTGGGCAACAATTGTCGCCAAGAAATTTTTCTCCAGCCAATAGTCAAGCAGGGACCGGAGATTCTTGTGGAACATGTTCGGTAATTAATTCATGGAGCAAGTGCAGGGGGGAGTTGAGAGGAAGCCAGCTGTACTTGAAAGCTATCCACATCATGTATAAGGGTGTGCTCAGAAGAAACCAGTGTTACGCATTTTATTGATTTCATGATAACGGGAAGTTCCCTAAGTACTAACCTTCACTGATAAAACTTAACCTTCATTCAAGACACGTTGGTTTAACTTAAGAACTCCTTCACTTGTTTAGGCACCTTAAGCCTTTTGCAAAATTGTTTTCTGTTGTTGTTTTAATTGTTGCCGCCGCTGCTGCTGCTGTTGTTTGTTTCAGTCTTATTCGTTTTTTTTTGTTTTTTTTTCCTTCTGTTTTTGTTTTTGAATTTTTTTTTATTACTTCAGCTTAAGCTATTCTCGGATAGGATGCTAACAGAATAACTCAAATTAATTCAGGGAGTAGTGAATAATTGATTCGGGATTAATTCTCTGTTAATAATATATATTACATAGAGTAGAAGAGAAGTACTGTAGCTTTTACCCTTGAAGCTAGTGTATACTGGCTGCTGGAGTTTGGTTTGGCCGGTCGAAGTTACAGTAAACAAGTTTGTAGCTGTAGATGATGTATCCACTGTCATGTCCGTCCCCACGACCATGTTATTACCGGCTGCATTCCACATGTTTTGACAGACGTCACCCAAGTTTCGGCGAACTCGAATTCCGCTGTGTTTGCGAATACAAAAGGAAGAATAAGTTGATAAATTGAATATTTAATTCAGCCAGGAATTGTTTAATTCCCCTACTATCGTCAAACTGACACAAAAGGTACCTATGAAGACCAAAGATTCTATGCTAAGATACCCTTACGCTTAATAGACGGCCCCAACGACTTGTATGTTAGCCGATTGCTCACACATTTGTCACGTGATCTTGAATATTAATCCGTCAAGTGAAATATTTTCCAATACAATATTTGCTCCTGTAGGCATAGGATCTTTCAGCATACCGCACGATTTTAAGAAACTGCCAAAAATTGAATTAAAAAATGAACCGTTCCTATTCCCAGTCTCTCTTAGTTTTTAATAACGTTGTATTAAAGACGGTTGATTGTGGAATTGCGTTGGATTCCCGCGCCTTACAAAAACTAAGGAAACAAATTGCATCATTTCATTGGTTGCCAAGGTAACCCTAAAATCAACTAATTTCTACTCGTAAACCGAATAGTAAATTCGAGACTTTGGGGGACTGCATGCGAAACCACGGTTTTAAAATTAGAGACCAAGACTTAAAAAAATTCGACACTCCGAGATGCAAAATCAAGTGTAAACGAGACTTCGATTAAAAACGCGCCCGAGGTTTCAAGATCAGGCCAAAATTTTCTGGGATCCACATTTTTCGAGAAACCATTATAGGCGACTATCTATGTGCTTTGGCTAGTGATGCATAACAAAACATAAAGTCAGAAGATGAGGAACAGTGGCCAGTTGGAACCTCCGTTAGTGTCAGAATCGGTTCCAGATCGTATAAACATAGTGTTAGTGTAAATGAGGTTTCAAAAAAGAGTGTAGACTTGCTACAAGCCGACCTCACGAGTTTCTTAGCGAGCAGAGCGAGCTTTTTAGGCCGCGAAGCGAAGTCGCGAGAGGTCCAGCGCCATATTAAATCGGACGAAGGACTTTTTTGAAAGTCTGAAAAGAGGGTGACTGGGTGTTTTAATTTGGGGCCAAATAATGTGCTTTTAGTAAAGTGGTGGTCGTATACTGGGAGTGTCGTGGGGCGGGGTTTCACTGTACTTTTCTCCTCGGCCGGACTGGTATTTGACACTTTCTCCACTGGTGGTTTTTTATCGGAAATTCGGTGATATCGGCGATCATGCAAGAGCACCCTACGACATTTTTATTCTGTTCCACTGAGCAAATATTGCCTAGAAATTTCCATATAAATCTCGACAAATGTTACGATTTTCAGAGGTTGTGTTTTCACTGCATTTTGTTACGAAGATCTGATTCTGCGATTTAGTTATTGTCCGAATACTTTCCCGTAAAAAGATAAGGATGACAATGTAAGAGTGAAACTTTCGAGTAATTCTAAGCTATTTCTTTAACTACTCTCAAATTCTAGAATTTATCTGATCAATAGCTGGCATCTGGCTTTTAAAAATACTAAGCTAAAAGCTTCACAAATTTCAAAATAAAAAGTTTTTTTCTATTGCATCTATCTTTGCCATTGTAAATGCTTACAATTTGTATTTATCTTTTATGTCGATTGGTGTAAAAATAACAACCCATTTATGGGAGAATGATGATAAGCGGCTTTTGGAACTAAAAATAAACCTTTTTCTTTTCTTTAGTAAGCTGATTTACGGTTTGTTAATGACTAGAAAAAAAATAATGAGTGTTATTCTGTTAATTCGAAACAAACACTTTCAGCAATTGCCTTTACCTCAATATCGTGAAAGGCGAATGGACTAATATAAAATACTATCCTGATATTTGTTATCTGATTACCCGCTTTAATAGTTTACAAAGAGATGGTTAGAATTGAGATAGAGCAGGCAAGCGCCAGAAACAAATACACCTGACATTGTAATATATCCAGTAAACTGAAAGAAGAGACAACCCAGTAGAAGATTAGCGTGAACATTAGTTGACTGTCCTTTGTTCTTTCTCCTACAGAACTCCGCAGTGTTTTCGTTAAACCGTTATAAAATTATGAAAGGACATGAAAAATTGCAAAAAGGACTAGTTACTAGTCAGCTACAGTCACAATCTAAAAATTTATGAAAAAAGGATATATACATACCGAGCTTCGATCGATGCAACAATGAGCAGAAACGTTATCACACTTTCTGTTACCATGTTCACAAAGTAAAGGAGTTGTCAAATTAACCTCCCTGAAGTAGCAGCGCTTTGAACTGGTAACCAGTGATTTCTGGGGGTTTCTAAACAACTTTTTGCTTTTAACTGTTTGTCTCAGATTTCAATATCTATAAGTTGGCTAATTCTATTGATCTAGATACGTGAAATATTCAAAATATGTGATTCTAAGCGTGAAGCAATTTGAATTTCACGGTTTGGTATTGTCCGAAGCGCTTACCACCCCCATGGAGAAAAAAAAAAACAACTAAATAATGCAGCCTTGGCCCGAATTACCTAATATTAGGGTAGCGGTGTTTTTTTTAGACTGAAAGTTATTAACTTATGATAAAAATAGGCCAAATCATCTCAAGGAAATTTCTCAGTAACATTCTTTAGTTATTAAACATGATCAGTTTAATGTCCAAGCAGAAAAGTTTGGCAGATATCTCCTTATTTCTTCATAAGCTCGCTACTTGTAGAGGCTAACAAGGCGGCGAGCGGTACCTGTTATGCGATCATAAGGGTAAAGCTGATTTGAATTTCACAGCTTTGCATTGTCCAACGTGCTTTTCTGACCTTCATCTAAAAAGAAAACGCTCATTCAACCTTAGCGCAAAGTTCCGATTATTGGAGTTGATACCGGTGTTATTTATTTAGTTGTAAGGTAAAAAGATTGGGCAATCATCTCCATGAGATTTTTACTTTTATAGGCAAAATTTCCGAGTTCTCTAATATGATCAGCTTATGTGTGATGTTCCAACAAGCAGAATAGCTTCGACAGATATCTCCTTATTTCATCATAATGGAGTATTTGTATTGGTTTAAAGGCATGAGGTAGCAATATGTGATCATTTGAAAGCAAAAAGTCTACAATTTAATCTTGTTAAATTTTCCTGGTTCTCAGACGTAACGTTGAAGATTAGCCCTTTAACTACAAAAAGCTGCTGTTTTATGTAAGAAAAATAGAGTATAAGTATTTTAAAATGGCGATTGTAGTGAGTGATCTTCGCCAAATTTCTTTCTTTTCTCTCTTATTGTGGCGCTTTTATCGAGGGTCGATGCTTGAATAGCCCGACGCTGTAGCACATTATTATGCGTAAATGTCCAGCCATTCATGTCGGCAGTTTTTCCTACTAGCGCGAAAAGAACAAACAAAGGCCGCTTTTGCAGAGCTAAAGCTTTTATTCGCAATATAATAATGACGTAAATCGGTTGACAGCTGCCTGGTTTGCTATCGAAAAACAAGAAAATGAAAAAAATTTGCATGATCCCGCAGTCTGCAGTGGTTTTTCACTTCGCGGCCGTCGAGTTGTGGAATTATTAAAATGTCCTGGCTGAGGCTTTGGATTATGGCGGCTGTGAAGCGTGTGGGACAGCTCTACGGCTCTCCAACTGCATTAACGAGCCAGTATCTGGCCTGGGATCGCTACTGTACATATTTTGTTAAAACTCCGAGAGTGGAGGGAGAGACGAATATTTCTGGAACAAATAAGACCCACCGTAGCACCAGAACCACGCGAGGGAGACCAGTCTTTGATGTAAACACGACGTTTGCTGCTGAATTCACATTTTGCTGTGTATAGAAACCAAACAAGCGAACATAATTATGAAGAGTAGGAATCAATAGTCTTTTCTTCAAGTTTCTTTTTCAAGCATTGTTGTTCAAAAGCAAAAACATCGAACCCCAGCTCACTGGAATTAAACAGAACACCTTAGCTACAAAATAGTCCAAACTAAAGCTTCATAACTCCAGAATCTCATCAAATCTTGACTTACCTCATTCCTTGGTATTTTGAAGCTTGAATTTCTATGTTGGCGATATCAAACACATAAAAACAACCGAAAACAAGCTTGCAATTGATCTCGAGTGCATACTTCGAAAACGGTGGGCGTTATTTTGTATCTCGCCCCAGTCCCCGACGCGCAAATTTTTCATCCTGACTGCGATCTCAAAACCATGTCCACCTTTCATAGCGGTTTGTGAGGAAACAAGCACGGTGACCAATTTTTTTTCCCCAGGTATTTGCTAAGAACAGTCTAACAAAGAACATATTTGAAGAAAGAAAAAAGTTTGATAGTAGAACATGATTTTTTTGGGGGAAATAGTTTCGTATTTGGTGTATTTGAGTCAAGGCTATCTCATCCGATTACTTCGAGTCGTTATTACTCCCTCAGTAACGTCTGAATCGACCGGCCGTTAATGCCGTCCAGTGATGTCACTACTCCTTGACCTTTGCTTTAATTCATGCAAAAAGTAAAACACGATTTTCAAGTTGCAAACCGAGAAATATCGTTTGGAAATGTATGCATGATACAGTACTGCTTTATCTTTTTTCGATCGTAATTCATGTTTAACGTTCAAACTATCAACTGCATGCAGTACAACTCTGAACCGGTTGAACAAATTCTATAAACAAACTAGGTCGCAATCACGCAATGAAATAAACACACACTAGGAACACAGTTCAAAACACAATGATTTGCTTTAATTGAAAGAAGCTATTTGGTCCTTAACGAAGAAAAAAAACAAGGAGACAAGAAAGAAAAGCTAACAGAATCATTACACTTGACGGTAAAAACAGCAAGAAGGTCGAGTAAATCATAACATTGACCTCAGAAAACTTCGCGTAAACAAAATCACCGGCCGGCAAAACCACAAAGCGGCTCTAAATGAAAAACCTACCGACTCTCTGCAATGATTTTTTATTCGCAGTTCAATTTAGCATTTCAGTTTCGAGGACAAGGGCAATTTTGCCGTTTAAGATAAAGATTAAGCTTATCGAAAGGTTTGAACTAAGCGAAAGAATGCCAGGGATGCGATCCGCTGAATATATCAAGCGACAATCCCGCTAAAATATTTCATAATTATACATAATGATGCGAAT